GTCTCCTAATCAGGTGAATCAGCCTCAGGTGTGTAGGAGGCTTCATCTCAGGAGACCCAGGGCGCTCTCTGCTGGAGAAAGGTGGCAGATCTCCAGATCCCAACAGTCCCCCCCCCCTCAACGACCGCCTCCTGGCGGTCCAGAGGAAGTGGACGGAAGGGAGTTCTTATACTCATCAATGAGTGAGGGGTCCAGGATGAAGGACCCAGGAACCCAGGTGCAGTCCTCCGGACCGTAGCCCTCCCAGTCGACGAGGTACTGCCAACCGCGACCCCGGCGACGGGAGTCCATGATCCGGCGAACAGTGAATGCAGGGTGGCCATCAATGTCCCGGGCGGGTGGAGGGGAGTCGGACGGAGGGCAAAGTGGACTGGTCAGAACTGGCTTGATCTGGGAGACGTGGAAGGTGGGGTGGATACGGAGAGTGGGTGGCAGGTGCAGGCGGACAGCAGATGGGTTGATGATTTGGGCGATCTTGTATGGTCCGATGAATCTGGGGGAGAGTTTCTTTGACATGGACTTTAATGGAATGTCACATGTAGAGAACCATACCTCTTGACCAGGGGTGTAATCGGGTGCAGGACGTCGTTTCTTGTCGGCGAATCTTTTATTTTGAACAGAGGTACGGTTCAGAGCAGTGATGGTCTCGTTCCACACTTTGTGGCAACGGCGGATGTGATGATGGACGGATTGGACAGAGATCTCTCTTTCATCTGCGGGGAAGAGTGGTGGTTGATAGCCGATGGAAATCTGAAACGGAGACAGGCCGGTAGCAGCAGATTTTTGTGAATTGTGGGCGTATTCTACCCAAGACAAATACTGACTCCAGTCAGTTGGGTTAGTGGATGTCAGGCAACGGAGAGTGGATTCTAGCTCCTGATTCATCCTCTCCGTTTGGCCGTTTGTCTGTGGATGATATCCGGAAGTGAGAGAGACTTTAGAATTTAGAGCTGTACAGAAAGCTTTCCAAACCTGGGAGATGAACTGGGGACCTCGATTGGACAGAACCTCTTGTGGAATGCCATGCAGGTGGAATACGTGCTTGACCAATAGCTGAGCGGTTTGGAAAGCAGTGGGCAGTTTCCTGAGGGGAACCAGAGGACAGGCTTTAGAGAAGCGATCAATTATGGTTAGAATGGTTGACATACCCTTGGAAACTGGGAGACCGGTAACGAAATCCACTGCTATGTGGGACCATGGACGAGACGGAACAGGCAGGGGATGTAGCAGCCCAGAAGTTGGTTGGTGAGTCTGCTTATTCCTGGCACAGATGGGACAGGCCAGCACGTACTCCTTAACGTCCTTGTGAAGGGACGGCCACCAAAAACGTCGTGTGATGAGGGCGATGGTTCTACTTATACCTGGATGGGCTGAGAACTTAGCTGCATGCATCCACTGGATGAGGGGATCTGACAGAAGTTGGAACATAAGTGCTATTTGGGGGTCCATTTCCTGGGTCAGGTTCAGAAGCCAAGGCCAGATTGATGAGATCAGTGATTTCCCAGGAAACGGCTCCAACCGTGCAAGTGGCAGGGAGAACAGGCTCGGGTGTTTCGGGCTTATCGGATGAATACAGGCGAAAAAGAGAGTCGGGCTTGATGTTCTTGGAACCGGGTTTGTAAGATATGATCAGATTGAACCTTGAAAAGAACAGAGACCAACAGGAATGACGTGGGTTAGATCAAAGACTGGATATATGACAGGTTCTTATGATCCGTCCAAACCAAGACAGGGTGTTCAGCACCCTCAAGCCAATGTCTCCATTCCTCCAGGGCTAGCTTGATAGCTAGTAACTCTCTGTCACCAACGTCATAATTCTGCTCTGCTGGAGAAAGTCTGCGTGAGAAAAAGGCACAAGGGTGAGTTTTTTGGTCTGAGTCAGATTGTTGAGACAACACAGCTCCCACTCCAGAATCAGATGCATCCACCTCTAATATGAATTGCTTAGAGGGGTCAGGTTGAATCAGTATGGGCGCGCTGGAAAAGAGAGCCTTTAGTTGGTTGAATGCTGCATCGGCTTCTGCAGACCAGTGGAACGTCTTCTTAATGGAAGTCAGAGCTGTGAGAGGTTGAGCTGTTTGACTGTAGTTGCTGATAAACCGTCTATAGAAGTTAGCAAACCCCAGGAATCT